TTTTGTCTTGCTTAAGTGTTTTCTCATTTTTATTTTTGTTGTCAGACTGTCCTTGGTTTAATCTCTGGGTTATCACCCAAATCTTCCTGACATAGTTGTGCCCTAGCTTCCGGATCTCTAATGACCCACAGACATTCTCATCTTCATAACATCAGAGAAAAAAGCTCATCAAATCAACCACAATCTTTTATCCCAATTGATACAATCAGCAACACATTAAGATCAAGCACAACTTGGAAACTGACCACCTGTGGTAGTCACTAGTCTATCACCCTTTAATCATTTGAATTAAATTGAAATCACGAAGCAGTCCAGAATATGCCTGCAGTGAACAAACTTTTCAATATAGTATATTTACCATTTAATGGCTCAGACAGAGCTAGGATGAAAAACCCCTGATCTCAGTTAGCGGATGGCTGAACCCCATGATGCAGACTGACCTCAGGCTGCAAGGCCCAGATTGAGTTCCCCAACCTGCTGAATGGTTGAAACTGAACCCCAATGCAGACTGACCTCAGGCTGCAAGGCCCAGATTGAGTTCCCCAACCTGCTGAATGGTTGAACTCCACAATGTTCTATTACAGGTTTCCCACACACTTTCTTTAAAGATGTTCAAAATTGGGAACTCAGAAAAATACCCTTGATGAGCAACTCTGCCTCTGCAGAGTGGATCCAAAGACTGGCACAATCAGGAGGTCTGAGAATGCATGGGGGGGCAGAGGTAAGGGGAGTTATGGGGGTTCAGGGGCTCCCATGCGGTTACCTTCCTGGTGCCAGAGTGATGGCATCCCCAGGCAGGAGAAGGCATGGCTCTCCTTCCCATGGTGGATCAGGGCCCAGGCTACCTTCCTGCTGCTGTAGTGATGGTGTCCCCAGGTGGGAGAGCCGAAAGACACTCTTGAAGGAAGACTTCTAGAACTGCTTCAAAAAGCGGCAAGCGCAATGAGATGATTGTGTTCAAGATGAAAGGGTGTATTTTGAAGAGAATTAATGGTAATGTCTTTGTTGTAGTTTAGATTTAAAATGTTTCTCAAAACTCTCATGTTCCCTGGTCTGAAGGGGTGGTCACTGAGGGTATGACCTGGGAGTATACATCTCTTTCACTGGCTCATTCCTTCTCTCTCTGCTTCTTGGTCACCATGAATTGAGAACCTTTCCCTGTGTCATGACACTTTGTTAGCTTGTTTTTGCCTTGAAGTCAGTCAACCATGGACTAAACTGTGAGCCAGAATAAAACTTTCTTATTTAAAGTTTTAGGTTTCAGATATTGTATCCCAGCAATAGAAAGTAATTAAAACAGAATTGGTACTGAGTAGGGTATTTGCTGTGAGTGTACCTGAACATGTGCTGAAAAACCCTCTGGAACTGTTTCATGGGAGGAGTTTGGATAGGTTGGTAGATACCAGTTAGGAACCTATAGAATGCTAGAAACTAAGCTTGATGGTAAATTCTGTTTGAAGCTTGGCTGACCAAAATGCTCACAGAAATGTGCATAGTAAAGTCCAGGCTCAGGAGGTTTCAGTTAAGAGAAAAGACTTTCTCAGCAGTTTGATTAAGGGCCATGTGTGCTACACTGTGGCAGAAAATTTGTCTATATTTTGCCATTGTCCTGAGACTTTTCAGGACACTGAGATTAAGGGTGATGAACTAATAAATCTCACAGAGAAAATTTCAAAGCAGTCAATGTTCCGGCTGTGACATGGGCATTCCTGACTAATTTTTTTCCTGATCTACAATGAGAAATAGTTACAGAAGATAGAATGGTTTGAAGAGTTTTCAGTTTTGCCAGAAAGAGCTTGAAAAACTAGGTCAAAAGGGAACATGATAGCTAAAACGTTTATCATTAAAAAGAAGTGAAGTACTTTGCATCCAAATAATAAGAAATATGCTTCTCAGGTATCTCAGAAATCAGCAAGATGTCACCTTCAAAGGCTTAAGGATGGAAAATTGTAAATCTTTCATTTGAGAAGACAGCTTCTGGAATTCCTGTTTAAAAAGGGCCACCTAAGGGATTGGTTCCCTAAGATTTGTTTCACAGTGCTTAGCCATCCAGGCATTCAGAAGCCTCTGCTGTCATAATCAAAAGGGGCCCAGCTATTGCTCAAGTTGGTGGCATACTTTGACATCATTCACTATGGTATTGATTTTATAGGCATGCAGAATGCAAGAAATATGGGGACATGCAGGCTTCCATTTAGATTTCAAATAATGGCCTAGGAGGCCAAGCAGTATGCCTCCGGGAGGGTGGTATGTGAAGCATTGAGAGTAAAGCAAAAAGTGCATGAAGGCCCCAGTCTGCTGAAAATGCCAAAAATGTGGAACATCTGTGGAGAAAAGACCCAGGAAGTGAGCAGAACCACCCCCAAGAGAGAGTCAATATAGGATACAAGAAACACTTTGGAAATCAAATTTACCATAACCTAACCTATGTGCTTGATATAGAACTACAGGATTTAATATTTTCCCTACTAAGTTTCAGTCTTGCTGTGTTTCCATTCCTTTCTATCCTATTTCTCCCTCTTGGAATTGTATGTGCCATTGTATGTTGGTAGTGTTTAAGTTTTTTTGTTTTACAAGGTCTCACAGCTATGAGTTTGCCTAAGTCTCAAAGATTTTGGATTTGGGCTTTTCAGCAATGCTGGAACTATTAAGACTTGGCAACTCTTAGAAACAGACTAAGAGCATTGCTCAGTTTTTAAAATTAATTAATTAATTTTATTGGTCCATTTAATGTATACAATGTAATGACATCCATCATTGGAAATGTGCATCTTTACATAATCCATCTCGGTTTTTATTTTTTCCCCATTCCTGTCCTCCCTTCAACCCCTTCCCCCCATTTACAAAGACTATTGTTTCCATTTTTTTCTTTTTCTCATATTAATTGTATTCCTATCATTCTTTTCCCCTACCTCTCCCACTTCTCCTTCCCCTTTGAACCTTTTCTTCCTATTTCACATTATCTATCATACCTTTTAGTCCTTATTTACACTTCAGTTTCTCACACTAGAGAAACTATTTGTTATTTACCCATATGCATTGTATTTATTTCATTTAAGAGTATTGACTCAATGTGCATCCATTTAGCTATAAATGTCTCTAGTTTCCCATTCTTTATGGCTGAGTAGTACTCTGTTTTATTAAAAAAACACATTTTCTTTATCCAGTCTCCTGTTGATGAGCAATTGGGCTGCTTCCAAGTATTAGCTATCAGGAATTGTACTGCTATGAACATGGGTGCATGCATATCACTGTGGTATGATTCTTGTAATTCTTTGAGGAAGACACTCAGCAGGAGGACAGCTGGGTCAAACGGGATCTCCAATCCTAGTTCTCAGAGGTATCTCCATACTGTTTTCCACATTGGTTACACCAGTCTGCGCTCCCACCAATAGTGGAGCAGTCAGGGTTCCTCTTTCCCCACAGCCCCACCAGCATGCATTATTCATTCATTTCTTGATAGCAGCCATTCTTTCTGGGGTGAGATGGAATCTTAGTGCTGTTTTCACTTGCATCTCTCAAATAAGCAGTGATGTTGAACATTTTCTCATATGTTTAATTGCTATTTCCACTTCTTTGTCTGAGAAATATCCGTTCATTTCAGGTGTCCATTTTTGGATTGGGTCTTTAAATTTGGGAGGTCTGATTTTTTAAAAGTTCTTTATATATTCTAGATAGTAGATCTTTGTCTGAGGAAGAGCTGGTGAAAAGTTTTTCCTATATTGTGGGTTGTCTCTTCACACTACTGGTTGTTTTTCTTGCTGTGCAGAAGCATTTTATTGTTTAATTTATTTGTTTCAGAAGCTTTTTAATAAGGAGACATCCCACTTGCTGTTTGTACTAGTTCACAGGCAGCTGAGGTTTTGTTCATAAAATCTTTTCCTACACCAGTGTTTTCAAGAGTTCTATCTAACCTCTCTTCCAGCCAGTTTAGTGTTTCTGCTTTAATATTTAGATTTTTAATATATTTCAGTTTTAGTTTAGTACATGATGAGAGATATAGGTCTAGTTTTAATCTTTGGCAAGTTGAAGCCCAGTTTTTCCAGCAGCACTTATTAAAGAGGCTATCTTTCCTCCAGGGAGGGTGTTTGGCTCCTTTGTCAAAGATGAGGTGGCTGAGAGCATTGCTTATAATGAGATGGATGTGAATCTTTTGGAGGCCAGGGGACAATGTTTTGATTTAAATCTAAATTGCCCACCATATTTTCACATTTGGACATGAGGCATGGTTTGAAGGGTCATGTCAGTGGGGGTATGATGTGGCAGGGAATATCTCTTTCTTTGTTCCTTCCTTCTCTCTGATTTCTGGCTACCATGGGCTGAACATCTTTTCTCTGGCATACCCCTCTGTCAACTTGTTTCTGCCTTGGAGCCAGCACAAAATAGACTAAAACTGTGAGCCAAAATTAACCTCTCCTCCTTAAGTCAGTAAATAAGACAGTCTTTTACTGTAATGTGTTTTTAAAACTTTGAATATTTATTGTATTTTTCAATCATGATGAAATACCATTTAAGATGATACTAATTATAGCATATTTTAAATACAAAACAACTATCAACCTATCTGTTTTTCGTCTAACATGCAAGGAACACTTAAAATATCTATGTGTGAAAATAAAGCTCTTGCTGGAGCAGAGAAAAGGAGAGAGTATGTGACAGTCATGTGACCCATCCAAGGAGGATGGATCCTGGAAGAGAAACTGCCAAGTACTTAATGTACAGTGTGGTCAGTGTATTGGACATGAATCAAACTAGACAGCAAAGGACAAGTGAAAAATAAAATTCTTTATTAAGTAATAAATAGAACAGTTATGGAGATACTTTTCATTTGTTACATGAGTATTTCTCACTTCTGTGCAATGTAATCAAGAACACATGAAGTATTTTTTTTTGTTGTTGTTTGTTTTTTTGGTACCGGGCATTGAACGTGGGTCCTTGAGCTTGCAAGGCAGGCCACCGAACCGCTGAGCTAAATCCCTAGCCCCCACATGAAGTATTTTAAACAATTCTCTGTGCCCCATAAATATGTCTGCAAGTCTCGTCTTCTCTGGCTATCGTACATGCAGTAATAATTTATCATTTTGATTCACAGTAAATTAGATGAATATTTATTAGATCCATTTAAAATGCCCATGTCTGTCTTTTCCTTATCTCATTTACACATTAACCAGCTGTTACTTTTCAATACATGTGTCACCTTCCTGGCATTAGGGTCAAACTCAAACTGTGTTGATCCACTGAAGAAATAGAAAAATCCTGTAAACATAGATGAAGAAAATGATGAGACATTTTTCAATGTATCAATTTTTCAACATATATAACTTAGAATAATAGTCAGCTAATAATGAGTGGCATTTATTAAATGATTCTCTGTTTTACAAACTATGCTGAATGCATTGTATAATTTATTTTATCTATACTTGCAGAAACAGTATAAGGAATCATTAACGAGGATGAAACTGAAAATTAGGAAGACTTTAGAATTTCCCTAGGTAACATTTCTAGCGAAAGATTGAGGAAGATTCCATCTCTTCTGTCTGACTTCAGTGTTCTGAAACATCAGATTATGCTGTCTTTAAATAGAGGGGATTGTACAGTATTTTAAAATCCAATTTTCCCCTTTCTTTTCAACATTTTATCTTCCTATTAGGTAAAAAAAAATCACAATTTGGGAAGCCAAAAGAACCAGATTCATGATAAATTGCATTAAAGGTGCATTTTCTGCTTCATATACTGTATAGTCAAATTACTGTAGTCACAGGTCATCAGCCTAGTGAGTATTATGATTGTCAGGGCCTGGCAGGTCCCTCCAAAATTACTTCAGAATAAGCAAGCACAAATTTCCCTGCCCATCTACTCATTAGCAGAAGTTAAATTTTGTCTAGTCTGAGCATGTGGGAAAGCCACAATTGCCTTACAATAGTAACTAATAATGACTAATGTAAACAATTGCTGACTGCAACAGCAACCAGACAAAGCACTGTAGGATGGGACAGGAAATAACAGGGGACAGAATAGAATGAAAACTAGTCATCAGTAAACTTGGCTCACACCAAGTTGTATTTTTACAACAACATAATGACCTGAAAGATCATGGGTTCTATGTGAAGCTGTACCCTATTTATTTATTTTTTATGCTGAACCTAACTTTATTCATGCTTGCCTGGCACAGGAACAGATCCTTTGGTAAAAACATACAGTGAGAACAGAAAGCGTCTTAGCATGTACTCTGTTAAGCTACAATAATTATGTACCTCAGTTATTTCCATGCACATGAGTCTAACAGAAGCTGTATCCTTTGATCATGTGTGTAGATATGAGATAGAGGCTTGGAAGTCATTCAAGAAATATAAAATTTAAATTAAATCTGCATATTTGGAAAGTTAAAATTTTCAGGAATTTGAAGTAAAAAGGATTTAAGACTGAATGATTTGAAAACTTTTGATTTCTCACTTCCTTAAAAATATTTTAGTAACTTTATAGTGGTATCCTTTACATAGCATAAAATCTATCATTTTTAATTATTCCATTTGATAAGCTTTAGTAAATGTTATTCAAATATTATACACAAATATGAAACAGGCCAAAACATACGTCATTCTGAGACTATAAAATACCCAAAGTACCCTCACTGGCAATGAAATAGGTATCCTCTTACCAAAGGCCTGTAATACAGCATCTACTTTTCCATCAACTCCTGGAAAGTCATCAGCTATAAATCTGGGGAAGCCTTTTTCCATGGACTGGCTTTTCTCATCAAATCTGCACCAAGTGAAAGAAATCCAGCTCAATATTTTATAGAAATTTCATTGTGCAAACATTATGGCATAGTGTTAATGTTCTTGTGTGGAATCCTAGATAAACTTTTCAAGTTGTTCAAAGAGATGATAAATTTTTGTAGGGCTATAATAATAATGTGATGTTCCTAGTTTTACAAGCTTATAATAATATAAATAATATTTTACCCAGAAAAGGGACAACATTTTATTCTTCAGAGTTTCTGCACATATGTTTGAGGTCAATTTTCTAATCCTGGACACATAGAAGTTAAGCACTTACTGGCCACAAATACACAAGGATACATATAAGATGTAAAGAGAATTAAGTCATTTGGCTATAAGCAAACTCCTGGTTCTCTATCCCACTGAGACCCTGTAGAACTTGTTTCTACAATCTGGTACACCCGGGATGCCTATGGCAACCATGTGGGACTGGCCTTGGGACACAAAGTAAAGGTGCCTTTGGACCTCTTTGGTCTCTTGTTATGTCTTTGGCTGTTTTAATGTATGACCCAGTGACCCCTATTCTGAATGATGTTCCTATCTGGGAAGTTGAGCAACTGTCAGGTGTCTTCTTCATAGCAGGAATACCTGAAGTTAGAGAAAGAGGGTAGAGTGGGCAGGTATCTTTTAAAATGGTCCCTGGTTAGGCTCCAAAGAAAATCATTCCCATTGCATCTTACCTCCAGTATTTGTCCTCTGTAAAGAAATACGTTTTCTTCTTTTCCTTATCAGAAACAGCTGCATCAATTTTCCTTATGGTTGCAGGAAATCCCAGAGTATGGATGCTTCTTGGATAACCTGCTTGTACATCATTTCCTCTGACTTCCCAGAACTTACGTCCTTGAAAAAAAAAAAAATAAAACCAAGAAACTATGAGTGAATCCATTTAGTTTAATAAATGATTATAATGGCATTGTTGTGTTAAGAGAAAGCTAGATTTTAATTCTAACCACTAGCATAATATCTAGTTTCTAGTGTATTTAATAAATGTTTATTGAGTGAGTGAATGAGTGAATGAAGGGGTGAATGAAAATATGAGCATATAACTCTTGTTCACTGTCTTTTCTGCATCTTATATTTGTTATCTGTAATTTGTTGCAAAGATTTCTAGTTATTTCTTACAATTTTTGATGATTTCTTAATCTAAATTTCTAATATAGGCCCCTCCAAAGCTTTGTATCAGGTCAGTTGATTTTTAATCACCTAATACTAAATAACTCGCAATCACCAAGTCCTATCTGTGCTGCTTCAGAATATTATGGGAATTCCCTCGACTTCAAGTGAATTGGGATAGTGGAATCCTATCATTCTGATTCCCTTTATTTTATCATCTTCTCTCCAATTTTGAATCCCTATCATCTGAGTGGAATGACTTCCACCTATCTGAGCAATGCCAGAAGTGCTTTACTTTTGTATAAAAAAGTTCCTTCTGCCTGCCTTAAAAACCTTTCTGCTTTATACATTCAGCCCATCTCTCCACAGCAAAGTTCTTCTCCATCAAGTCCCATTCTGACATTGCTCCTCTCAGCCTTGGGTAAAGTACGGTGCTCATCCTTTGGGCCCTCATGGTTCCTTTCCTTCTCAGCTCCAGCCCTGTCCACAGTGCCTTGGCAGCGTCATTTCTGCTCCCTCCTTGGAGTAGGAGCCCCTGCTTACTAGTGAATTCTGTGCCCAACGCATTGCAGGTATTTAAAAAATGTCACATATATGTATAAATAGGAGTAGTACTTTAGAATTATATAACTCATTATGATTTCAAAGGCAAATTCACATGATTTCATTTAATCTTTACAGAAATGAGATGGTCAGAAACAAATACGTATTTTCTAATCCCCCTATAGCTTACTATTTTAAAATAGTCCCAATAACTTATGAGTCAGGGAACAAAAAGCCTAAAAATAAGAACATAATAAAAATAACCTGTTAAAATTTGTGGGCTGAAGAGGAAGGAAGAGATATTTATAGGCATAAATACTTATTAGAAAAGTAAAATAGATGGCAATAAGGTAAGCACCAAATTTAAAGGTGATAAAAACAGAATAAATACAAAGAAAGCAAAATTAATGCAATAATAAGTAAATAGACAAAAATTAATTAAATAGAGTAGGGAATAGTGGTTCATGCCTGTAATCTCAGCTATTTGGGAGGCCCAGGGAGAAGGATCACAAATTTGAAGGTAGCCTGGGAAACTTAGGGATACTCTGTCTCAAAATAAACTAAAATGAACTGAGAATGTACTTCAGCACTAAGTGTTTCCCTAGCATGTGTGAGGGGAATAAAAATACAATAGAGAGGACCAACAAAAATAAAAGTTAATTCTGCAAGAAGTCCAGTAAGATTATTAAATATCCCTTGAGATTAATAAAGAAAATTAGAGAAAGGTTAAAAGAGTCAATATGAGAAATGAAAAAAAGAAAGAAAATTCAGCAATACTTAATTACAACAAAATAACACTCTGCTAATTTTGAACCAATTGATTTGGAAACAAAGTCAGTAAATTCCAACAAAAATATATAACCTGATTTAAAAAGCAGTAGAAGCTCAAATAGCATTACCAAGAGAACAAATTGAAAAGTAGTTTAAAAAAATCTTAACAGAGAAGCCACCAGGCCTACATAGTTCCACTAGTTAATTTATCTCTCCCTGCACTGATATTATAATATTTTACTTATTAAAATTTTGTAACACAGAGTTGTTCTCATTGTTTTACTCTTCTTCAGGAATATATATGCTGTTCTTGACCTTTGCCTTGCTACATAAGTTACGAATCTAATTTGCCAAGTTCTATGAAAACTCTAATGGTATTTGAATTGAAAATGTCATATCTGTACATAAATGACATTTTAGCTATGTTAAAATTTTATATCCATAAATATAAGATATTCACTATTATTATCTAATACAAGCATTTATGCCTCTAAAGATCCCTTTCTTCCTCTTAATCCCACAAGCTTTGATTTGTTACTTTTGTTTTATTTTGAAGTTTTTTTCTCCCTTGACTCCTGAGTTATAGGGAATATTTTAATACATCAAACTATATGTGGAATAGTTTCTGTCTGTATCAAGTATTTTAAAATAACATTTATAATGGCTTTTGTGCAAAGCTTATGTATGCATTGACACTAGATTTTTATAGTAATGAACCACTTAAAATTTACTATAATAGAGAAAATTCCTACCAGTGAAACTTTTGCAATAGGATTTTTTTCAAAACTTAAAAAATTGTGGATAGTACTTGCCTTTAAAAATAAAAACTGCATCCTTGCTGATGACTTCATATGCAGCATCTAAATCTGATGGAAGGGAGGGCCAAAATGTAGAAATCAAATTAAGTTCAGGTTGGGGTTTCCAGTGGAGTTTACGCCAAAAATATCTGTAACATATAAAAATTATTTTCAATTTCCTTTGTCCTTTATATAATAGGTAGAGAGACATAGACACATGAAAAAAAGACAGTAGTCTTTTCTTCCAGTCAATGCTAACTCATCCTGTACAGAAGTTGGTATTAAATGACTGTCTTGTGCGTGACTCCAGGGTAATGAAATCTATGGCAGGAATATCGATTAGTTCCAACAGGATTATTTAGCTTAATTTCACTCTGAAAGACTGCAAAACACTGTGTATATCATATACCGATAAATATTTCCACAAAATGTTATGTGCCTCTTTGTGTTTGTGTGTGGATAGAGACACAAAAGAAATTGATACGTGCTAGCACACGTGGAAGCAACTGGGTTACTGCAGGCCAGAGATGGGAAGATTTTCCTTGGAACTCTCTCTGCATCTTTTGTTAGTATTTGAATATTGTGCATAAGCATATATCATTTTTTTAAAATTAATTCATTGAGATAGTGGCTTTCTAAAACAAAGGTAAAGATACCACTTTGCTTCTAAAGATGTATAATACTTTTTGAAGATGTTCCACAATTTATGATATTTATAAGGTAAACAAAACAGATAAAACACTTTCCTTAATGGAATTCATATTCTAGTAATCAAGAATAATTCTTTATAAAACAGTCTTTAAAAAACAGCCTGGGCTATTCGAAAGAGGGGTTAAAAATGCAATAAGAACTAGATTACAGGAAGACACTGTGATGCACACCTGTAATCCCAGCACTCTGAGAGGCTGAAGCAGGAAGAGTACAAATTCAAGCTGATTCTGGGAAACTTTACAAATTAGTGACACCCTACCTTAGAATTTAAAAATTTTAAAAGGTCTGGGGATGTAGCTGAGTGTAAAGACCAGGGTTCAATACCTGATCACACACACACACACACACACACACACACACACACACACATCAGATCAAAATGATATGATTCTAGAATGTACAGGAAACACTTCATTTAAATTTTAGCTTGTTTCCTTTTTCAAGCATTGTACCTAAAAAAAGAAAAAAAAGATAGGAAAATATAGCTTTCCAGTCTGACCTGTTTTTAAAGAACAGGATTTCTCCCCTCAGGGTGCTGACTGCATCGAAGGACAAAGCAGGATCACATTTGACTAGTGTCCCAGACTCTAGCGGGCTAGATTCAGCGGGCACTTCTGGCTCAGCAGGAGAGGGAGGAGGAGGTCCTAAAGAGAACAGATTAGGGGAGAAACAGCATTAGGAAAAATGTGATGCACATGTCATTTTATACGCTTTCCAGACCTTCTCAAGGTGCTTTAAGTTACATTGCAAATATTTTATGTAGCATCTCTGCAAAGCTATAATATCTATTTTTTCCAACATCACTCACCATAGAGGAACTGAATGCCATCCACATCATCTTGAGAAAGGCGGAATCGAGTCAGGTCTGTGAAGGAGTTGTAGAGTGGATACATCAAAGCCTTAGTGTCGGTGGAATGGAAGAGACCCAAGGAGTGGCCAAGTTCATGAGCAGCAACCAGGAATAAATTGGTCCCTATTTAAGAAACCATAGATGTTGAAACTCTTCGCAGCTAATTATTTTGAAAATATACATATAAAACACATGCCAGATATACTTGATAGAAACTCATGTTTTTCAAGGTTGACTAGAAGTCAAAACATTAGTTTTTCACCATATCTTTCCCTAATAATCTCCTGGTAAAGGAAAACTAAGTCAATTTTACTGTATTTACAGTGAGGAGTATTGTTTCCAAAAGTACTTCTTTGGAAGGACCTTGATTAATAGCATGTCAGTAAATATAACTCTTCATTTTCTAAAAAGAACAAGGTTGTCATGTTCATGTTTCCTAATATCTATCAGTTTCAGCCTTGCCTGAAATTAATTGGCAAGTATTTATGTATTTCTTAAACTCTTAAGTAACAAAACTATGGTTATTTCCCACAGGGATATAGACTGATTTGTTCTTCTTCTTTGTCATACTCAACTAAATTTTGATTATCAAAAGCTTTCCAGTAATAAGTAACACTGAGTATGTGCAATCTTTAGTTTAAAACAGAGAAATATGCCCAGCTGCTGTTTTCTGCAGTACAAATATAGCTGCATTCACTTCTTCTTTATATTATGAAGAGTTTTATTGCTAGCATTTAGCCAATGCTCCATATAATTGAGGGAAGAATAAAGCTAGATGATTTCATGCAGCACAACATCAGGTTTTCACTCAGTAGAAGGGTTCTTTCATTTATGTAAAAGTTCCCAACTAGTCTCAGAAGAAGCGATTGTTTCAAAAGTCTGTTTCTAATCTTCAGAAGCCATTTGAAAAAAAAATAGCACACAGTTAATGTGAATCATTGTGTCTTAGTAAACCTTGGGTCTCTCAGAACCAATTTAAGGGAAACAACATTCCTGAGCTAGTGACAGTGATGCACTTATTTAAACAAATGATGTAGAAATGTCCTTTGGTTCCTAGCATTTTCTCTTGATATTTACTCTAAAGAGAAAAAGACCCAAATGAAAAGGAAGGAAACAACTCAAGGTCATGTTTTAGGTTCAGAACTCATTCAGTGGCATTCATTCTACATCAGTCATTTATAATTAATGTGATACAAAATCATTATTAATCACACTGGTCCGAAACCTTCACAAGATCCAGAGTTGAGGAAATAAGATCGAATGGTACTTGTATTACTCCTGGTGGGGCAAAGATGAATTGTATACGTTTATAAAATTCTTCACTAGTGATTGAATGAAGAGTCCTCCCATTTACCACTCAGTTAATCAGAATTTCACTTACTAGAATACTACATTTACTTCTCCTTCTGGATAATGAAATCATTCTTGGATAGTTAGACATTATTTCTGAAACCATTCTCAGAGGCTTAAAACCCACCTGATGCATCCTCTGTCCATTTTTCATCATCATCAAAGTGAACATCTCCATAAAACTCAGGCCCAGGTGGATAGGCATGAGCCAAACGATTTCCTGGTCCATCAAAAGGGTAAAAGTCTCCATGTTCTGATGGGGGGAAAAAAAACAACGGTAGTTTACATATCCAGAATTTCTTTTTATCCTTTTCCAATCAGACAGCACCAGATGCTGAATGTTAGTGCCTTCTCAAAGTCCACATGTTGAAAATTAATTTCCAATATTAAAATGTATGGTCTTTATGATGTGGATATTTCATGAAGCCTCCATGATTGGGATCAGTGTCCTTATAAAAGAAGCTTAAGGGAGCCTCCTGGCCCTTCTGCCATATGAGGACACAGAATGTGTCACCCATGAAGCATTACCGAAGATCTGCTGACACCATGACTTTTGACTTCTCAGTCTCAGATCTGTGAGCAATGCTATTTCTATTGTTCATAAATTAATTTTGTTTTAGTATCCTGAACTGGCAAAAACATTTGATAATAGGCTGGGGATTTAGCTCAGCGGTTCGGTGGCCTGCCTGGCAAGCGCAAGGACCTGAGTTCAATCCCCAGTACCAAAAACAAAAACAAAAACAAACAAAAAAACAACAAACATCCGATAAATGGATATTTTATTTCATTACCTCTAACTGCAAAAGAAATCATTATGTCAGCCTCTCCTTCAAGCATCCTGGTGAATGTGAGTGGGGTCACCCCCTCCCAGACCTTCAGAGCTTTCTTTATGGCAGAATCAACAGCAGCTCTTGGCAAATCCTGTGTGTAATTCACAATCCTGTGTAAGAAAAAAATGAAGAAGCTAATATTTTCCTGGGATACAGAATATAAAATTTCAATATTGTGTGACAACATCTTTGGAGCCATACCTGTATGTAAGATGGTTTTTCCTCCACTTTGGCATCCCAGGAAAGGTACTGAATTGACCAACATCTGGAACTCCACACCTGGGCTTACGAATTACCTCCAAAGTGTTAGAATCCAACTTCCCTGTCACTTCCAGCCCAAGGAACTTCTGCATTTCTTGGATTTTTTTAACAACAGGACCATTGTCTTTCCTTCTATAAACTTGATTCACATCTTTTGCAAGGTTGTAATAGTTTTTTAGGTATTTCTAGTGGAATAACAAGTATATTTGTAAGCAATTCTTATGATTATTTAACCATTCATTACAATTTCAAAATTTATTTTAATTATTCTCCCATTTATTGAAACAAAAGCAAGTATTACAATTTGCTTTTTTATTAAGATGGCTTATTATTTCAGTCCAATTTAATTTATTAGCCAAGTTAAAAAATTGGCATAATTGTATACATTCTTGGATGAATACATCTACTTCACATTGTAAATAGAGACCTGGTTCAAGACTAAAGAGAGATCATACATACATATAAATAATACATACATAGAAATAATGGCACAAATGGTTCCTTAATATAAAGATGAAAATTAGCATATTCTCCCACTTCAATTTATTTTAACCAAAGTAATTCTAAAGCAAGGTACATTTCATCTATTTCCCATTTGTTGTTTTCACATAGCCTCGGAGCTGCTGCAACACTATTATTCTAACCTTGATTAATTATTTGAAATTCCTGTGCCTTTCTTTCATTCTCTGTTAAAATGAAAGGAATTTCCACCTCCAGAACTTTGATATTCTCTGATGCCAAATAATTCCAACAAAACAGTTTCGAATCAAGTCATTCTGCTTGGTTTTAGAAGATCAAGCAGGCATACTTGTTCTCTACATGGGTGAGCCAGTGGCTTCAAATGATGCTGCCATTAATTACCTGGGCAATTGTAAACTGGATAAAGAAGATGTGCTTTTTCTATAAAATGGAATACTACTCAGCCATAAAGAATGAGAAATTAGAGCTGGGCGTGGTGGTGCATGCCTGTAATCCCAGCACTCGGGAGGTTGAGGCAGGAGGATCGCTGTGAGTTCGAGACCAGCCTCGACTACATAGTGAGTTCCAGGTCAGTCTCAACTACATAGTGAGACTCTGTCTCAAACCCCTCCCCCCAAAAAAGAATGAGAAATTAGAGTCATTCATAGGAAAATGGATACATATTGAGGATATACTCCTAAGTGAAATAAATAAGTCATACATGTGTAAATACCGAATAGTTTCTCTGGTGTGAAAAACTATAATAATACATAAGAATCGCAATGGTATAATTGACAATGTGAAATAGGAAGAAAGGGGATAAAGGTGTAGGGAAAGTGGGAAGGGTAGAGGAAAGGGAATAAGGTAAAAGAAAAAATATGAGGAAATGAAAAAATGGCAATAAAGTGTTTGTAAGTGGGGAGGGGAGGAGGGGGTGAGGGAGGGCAGGGACAAGGGGGAAAAATGAGAACAAAGGCCTGTCATGTAAAGGTACACGATCCCAATAATGAATGTGACTGTACTGTATACCTAAAATGTGCCAATAAACTCAATTAAAAAAATTACCTGGGCAAAATCCATGTTGGGATTTTCTTCCTTCACTGCTCCATTCAGAGGATAAGCTGAGCAGACTGGCAGACACAACAGCATGAAGACAGCTAAGTGCTCCATTCTGACTGCCTCTGCCTTAACAAATCCCTTTTTCTACCTACTAGCTTCTGTTCCTACCTTCTGGTGGCTGCTATTTTATAGGGAGACGTTGTTTAGGTCATCAACAGGGTGATTCATGTTTGTGCTTTTCTTTAAAAGTGAATGACAGGGCTGGGGATTTAGCTCAGGGATTCCACTGCCTGCCTCACAAGAGCAAGGTCCTGAGTTCAATCCCTTGTACAAAAAAAAGTGAATGACAGCAAGAAGGTTCACATCAATTTAATTGGAGATGATATAGCCTCTAGTCAGTGATTTCCCTACAAGTATTAAACCAAAAAGAATGACAACTCTGCAGGAAGTGGTTTTTGTGTTTATAAAGAGGAAAAAGAACTGGCTGGATAATTCAAGTTTGTTTATTTCCTGGAGTATTGCTGACAAATTTGGCAAAGTATTAATTTTTTAGACATAGGAAACCAGAGCAACATTCTTTAGAAAAATTATATTTAAAATGCTTTATTTCTGGTGTGAAAAAGTCTAATAGTACATAAGATCCTAATGAGATAATTGACAATGTGAAATAGGAAGAAAAGGGCTAAAGGTGTAGGGAAAGTGGGAAGGGTAGGGGAAAGGGAATAAGGGAAAAGAAAAAATATGAGAAAATGAAAAAATAGAAATAAAGTGTTTGTAAATGGGGAAGGGAGGAGGGGGTGAAGGGAGGGCAGGGACAAGGGGGAAAAATGAGAACCAAGACCTGTCATGTAAAGGTACAAGATCCCAATAATGAATGCAACTGTACTGTATACCTAAATGTACCAATAAATTCAGTGAGAAAAAATAAATGCTTTATAAGCAGGTAAGGTATAAATAGATCAGTGGAAAGAAATCCTGCATAAAAACTTAGTTCAAACGTGAAAATTTCTGTATAGGAAGATATAATGATAGATGTTTCATTTCCTGAGTCCTCGTTTTTTTTTTTTTTTTTTTTTTTTTTTTCAAGGATCAAACTCAGGACCTTGTGCTTGCTAGGCAGGTGGCAGAGCCACTGAGCTAAATCTCCAGCCTTCCTGAATCCTCATTTATAAGAGGTATTACTGCTTTACAGATGAAATCACTGATGCTGGGGTAGAAATATTGTGAGTAGAGAGTGGACACAGATAGAGAACCTATAGAGGATGGAAGACACAAAGGAGAAAACCCTTGCTGTTCACTCATCCTCTGTTTCACAATAAATCAGATGGTCAGAGTAAATGCTCCATTAAAACTTGTTAAAATGAGAGCTAGGCATGGTGACGCATGCCTGTAATCCTAGCACTTGGGAGGCTGAGGCAGGAGGATTGCTGTGAGTTCGAAACCAGCCTTGGCTACATAGTGAGTTCCAGGTCAGTCTCAACTACATAGTGAGACTCTGTCTCAAAAACCAAACCAAACCAAAACAAAACAAAAAGAAACAAAAAAACCTTGTTAAAATGAAATAAACTTTTATATTAGACCAAAATATTTCTCCTACTTCCTCCTCTTCTTTGCTTTTGAAAACTTTTTGTCCCTTTTTCTCCTTTTACAAAGGAAGAGATGTGTTGAGATTTATAGTAGAGAATGAATTAAAGTCCTTACTTTCCTTCACTCAGCCTTACTCTCTTATCCAAGTACAGTCCTTTTCACGCAGTAAGACCAAGCATCTTCAGTAAACATTTTTTTCAAATTAATTTACTACTAAAAAAGACCCTGAAATTCTTGCTATATAGAAATATATATATATACATATATATATTCAGTAAAGATATATTAACTCTACCAATCTGGAGTTTGAAACTCAGAATAGAGGGATATTAAATTAATGAATGTGTAGGAATGATCTTTTAGGTATCATCTACCATTTTCACCCTACTTGAGACAGACTAGACAGGCAGGATGTGTATCCAGAAACCAGGAAGTTCTGCTACTTCCAGAAACCAGAGTAAGGGAGAAGCTTGAAAATGCACTGAGACAGCTAAGTCAGTTTGTAGCTTAACATAGCCAAGAAGTTGCTCCAGAGTGTGGGAAAGTAGAGGGGATGTCAACTGGAAAATCAGAGGGAAAGGGGCTAGCATATTTAGACAAAGCAAGCTGGACTTGAGTAAGTATATACTTTTTTCAGACAATATATGTCATCTATAAAATTGGAGTGTAGACAACTTTACTCAAAAGTAACACATGCTTTATCTTGGGGAACAAATCACCTTTAATTGTACCCTAATATCTTTAACAAAGCATGATGGCTGCACAAATCCATGACAGTGCTCTTAGGCACTGATTTGACAAACTCTGAGATAGATGCCTTGTCGGAGTCATAACTTTCTTGGTGTTGGTGTATCTTTGTGATGGGTCTTTTGACATAGTAATAAGGGCTATGATCATGATCACTCCTAACTAAGCATCAAACCATATGCCTCACAGGAGTGATGTTGGTGTATAATCTTACCCTGCATTTAAACATCATACCTGAATAAATTAATGACATGGGCTAAGGAAGTCATATGTGTCTGTTTCTAATTTATTATTTGCTAAAATCACTAGAGTATGCATACCAACAGGCAAGCAAGCATATACAATTTGCCTTTTAAAATTTTTTTGAGATAGGTACTCACTATGTATCCCAGGTTAGCTGTGTGGGACAATAACTGGCATACAATTTATCACTAAGAAAAAGTAAAACCGTTAGGTATAGATCTTCTACTATTGGCCAAATTCTAAATGTGATATTTCTAATTTTTAGAACATCCAAACAAGAATGAGACCAGTCTCAGAAAACCTAAGTATGAGCTCAAGGTCAGACAGTTAATAAGTGGTAAGAGATCACTTAGAACTGCCAGTGTAAAACCCAGTCACTATAATTCATAGATGTAGTCAGCAGGATTTAGGCAAGGAAATACATTAAATACAGGACATATAATTTATAAGATTATTTTGTAATAATTACACGAAGAGTCAAATGCAAAGGAGTGCAAGAGATTAACCACACACCAGGGGCCCAGCCAAAAGCCTGGATCCCCGCAATGTCCCTCACAAGTCCAGCTAAAGACTTAGAGTCCAAGGCAATGTCTTTCATGAGTCCATCTAATGGCCTAGAGCCCATGGCAATGTCTCATGCTTGTCTGCATTGAGGATCTGAACCTAGAAGGCCCAAAGGCCAGTGGTGGAAGCCAGAAAACCTATGCTGGTGAGATGAAAGATTTGTGCCACCAAGCTGAGGGATCCGCATTGGAGCCAGGAGCTGATGCTCATGGTGAAGATCAGAGCTCCCCCGACAAAAACAGCAGACATTCCCAGTGACGGTGAGGCCCTGAGCCCCTCATTCAATCCGAACACCTAGTTCTTTGCATCAGGAAAACCATCCATAGCAAGCTTCTCCTAGAAAATCAACAGGCCCAGATTTTCTCCTCCAGTTCTCTTTTTATGGCCACTGACAGCAATCATCAGGTGGATCCTCCATACCCAGACCATGTTGATTCAATTCAGTTGGGTGTTACAAGCTGACCATTAGTTAGTTAATCCACTATAATAGGATTATCAAAAATCTCTTGGCTTGGACCTTGGCTCTCTTCTGCACATTTTTTTCCTTAGATTTTGACATTCTATTCTTTTTCCATAATTTTTTTCTAATTAAAAATGTATTAGTGTATCCTTGTAACACATAATAATTATATTCATGTTGGGGCATTGGTACACGTATATTTATCACATCCTGATCATTTACTTCTCTTCCTCATAACCCTCCCCTCTCCTTTCTTTCCTCAGGTCTCCTTCCCAATTCTATAGAATTGGCCTCCATGTTTCCCACCACTCATCCTCTACTTTGTTCTTCAAATTATTTATATTTTGAATTTCTCATATAACAGACACCATGTGATATTTAATCCTTACATCTAATTTAGTTCACTAACCATTATGGCTTTAAGATCCATCCATTTTCCTACAAGGGACTCAAGTTTATCTGTCCCTATAAGTAGAATTTATAAGCTGAGTAGAACTTCATTGTGTGTGTGTGTGTGTGTGTGTGTGTGTGTGTGTAATTTTCTTTCTTAATTTATCTATTGATGGCCACATAGGCCACTTCATAAATTGGCTATTGTGAATTGTGCTGTTATTGACATGCTCTGCATATATCACTGTAATATGATTAACTTTTGGCAAGATACATATAAGAGATATAGTTGGGTCAAATATAATTTCTAGTTTTAGTGGGTTTTTTTTTTTTTTTTTTTTTTTTTTTTTTTTTTTTTGTTTTTTTGAGACAGGGACTCACTATGTATCGAGACTGACCTGGAACTCACTATGTAGCCCAGGCTGGTCTCGAACTCACAGTGATCCTCCTATCTCAGCCTCCTGAGTGAGTGCTGGGATTACAGGCATGCACCACCATGCCAGGCTAGTTTTAGTTTTTTGATGAATCCCCATACTAATTTCCAAAATGGTTTTACTAGTTTACGTTTCCATCAACAATGCAGAAGGTTTCCATTTTCCATATGGTTGTCGCTTCCCTCCACTGGTGGTTTCCTTTGCTGTGCAGAAGCCTTTCAAGCTGATATAATCCTGTTTTAGTTACTTCCCTTGTCACTGAGACACAATACTTAACACTCACAACTTAAAGGAGGAAAGGTTTATTTTGGTTCAAGTTTGTAGAATTTTAGTCCGTAGTTGTCTAGACTGCCTGGCAGAAGAGCCATGCTTCTGGCATAGTGATGGGGAGCAGGGAGAGATCAAGGAAGGGGAAGGAGATACAACCTTCCAGGCCAAACCCCCAGCGACCCACCTCTTTCAACTAGATCTTACCCCCAACAGCAAATCAGCTATAAACTCATCAGTGGACTGTCGCATTCCCATGATCCAATCGTCTCCAAAAAACCCACCTACAAGCACATGAAGTTTTTTTGGGGGGACATCGATATATAAACGATAACAAATCCCTTTTGCCGATTCTTGGTTATATGTATTGTATAACTTGGGTTTGGTTCACAGAGTACTTAGTACTTCACTATGTATATGTCTTCAAACATTTTACTATTTTCATCC